CTTTATATTTAAACAATAATAAATTCACGTGTAAAACTGAACACTAAGAAATGCAACCTTGTTCAACGACTGATGTTTTTGTCAAATTTTAAATATACTACACAAAACGGTAACCATATTAATCAACAAAGCTAGTTTGGAATGGTTTCTACGTACCTTGCTAATGTAACGTAAATCCAAATTACTACGCAGGTCATAAATATTAAAAATATTTATTTAGTAGGTTACCATTCACTGCTAATGAGACACGAAGATTAACAGCTTCTAATCCCTTTAAAGCCCTGGTCATTAAGATAATACAGAATATGAGGAGCATACTATTGTTTTCTTAATTATACGCCCATACGACAGATCAATCAAGATAACATCTCACTTATTTGTGTATTTAACGACGCTGTCAGCAGTTCAGTCTACATGTCAAGTAATAGATCAAATTAACAGTGGATTAAAGAGGATCTGTAAAGAAGCAGTCGTGGTCTGAATTAAGACACTAAACCAGAACTTTCTCGGAGAGACTGAGGGAAACCACAATTTACCATTCAGGTTAGCCGGTCCCCGGTCTGATATTCAAACCAGAAACCACCCATTACATAACAGGAATGCTAACCACTCAGCCATGTCTTTGGGTTCAATCACATCTTCGCTGTCTATTTATGTAAAATCCACCCAGCCTCGTATCAAATGGGTACTGGGGTCCTTTCGCGGTAAAGCCGGCCGGGGCGTGATGCTGGCCACTCACCACCATCTAGTGCCGAGGTCAAGAATGAGTAGGAGCTATAACTCCTCTCCCCCCAAGCGCCTACATGGCGTATAGTGGGACAAACTTTACTTTACTTTAATGTTTTACTTAACCTTACACTTACAAGCAATAACCTTCATTATTCACTACCTCGAAACTACTTCAAGAACTGTGACCTCATTTCACAGTTCAATTAATCATTTTAAGCCCAGTGGTAATTACCATAACCTGCATGTACCACCTGCTTTAACAATCAGTAACTCTTGAATTTTGTATTTATGGGTTCTGTATGATTCTCAAGGTAAACAGAAATTATTTCCTTAAACATCGTTAACAAGTTGGTATTTGTAATGATAAAGTGTAGTGGTTTCTTTGCGGTGCGGACTAAATGATTAAATATAATTTGGCCCTCGGTTCAAAGGGCCAGAGAATCTTACCATATTATTCATAACAGCCCGGATTCAACCCCAATTGTCGCCAATAATATAAAATGTAATAAAAAATCTTCAATACAATTAGAATCGATCACTTGACAAGAATACAGCTACAATTCCATTTTCTGGGGGGGTTTAGATCTAATGGTGATGCTGTATTATTGCAGTTTATTCAAAGTCGCGATGGCTGATGACATAGCTTTTATTATCAATCATTAGAAATACTTCTATAAGCTGCCTAATGGTGGCAGAAATTCCAAATCAGAACTTTCTACTGTCTAGTCTCATTACTGAGAACATTTGAGCATCTGTGAGGTCAGCCCAACATTCATTTAAGCAAGCAAATTGTTATATATATAAAATATATGATAATTAAGTAATTGTAATAATTTTCTCACCTCTGTAAGTGGCTGCAACTTATTGGAACTGTATTAAAGTATTAGTTTATGTGTCTGAGAGAGGTCGAGGACGGTAAATTTGTCTTTAATTACGACTTAATTAATAATTATTGAAGGTAATAATTCTCATACACAAATCTTGCAGGTATATAGGCCTGCCTAAGGGTGAACAAATAGACTCAACTACCGGAATGTTCAGTGAACTTGGCCATGTTTCGTTTCCACTGCAGATGAACTGTAGTTTACAGCCATGTCCGCTAGAGTGTTTAATAGGTTCCAGTCGTTATCGCGAATGTGTGAACAGAACTGTATGCAGTTCTAGTACAGGTGTTTATACAACATGCATTACTCTATACCTGGATAGACAAGCAAACATTAGGTGCGGTGTTGTTAAACAAATATACGTTTCTCTCAGAGACAATAGACGTAAGAATGGTTCACTGCAGGTTTTCCGGCTTTTACGAGATCGTCCAAGAAGCATATTCTGTTCTGTAGTACTCAGATATTAAGAAACTTTATATGAAGATGATTTGAAACTTCACGAAAGTTCACAAAAACAGATCATCGAACAAAACATCAATGCATAACATAGATACAAGCTGATTAAGATTATTTATTTTAATCCGTCTGATCACAATATTTAAAATTTCTTATAATTAAGATAATAAAATATCATTCATGTTCCGTATCGATTGATCGATACGGAACATGAATGATATTTTATTATCTTAATTATAAGAAATTTTAAATATTGTGATCAGACGGATTAAAATAAATAATTGTTATAATATTCACAATATGACGCAATTACACTATCTTATGATTAAGATTGTAAATTTTATTGAAATCATGTTATAGGCCTGTACGATTAATAGTTATTGACCACAGCCGATTAACTCTTGAAGAGACGATAAATGGGTACTGCATTTCAGTCAGAAAATGATAGAGACCAACATTGAAGATACAGGCGTACAATTATTTATGGTTTAGTTCATTTAGCGACACCTTTAATACATCAGATTACATATTATCGAGTGATTATTACTAATAAATATTAATCCAAAGAGATTTTAAGGAAGCAATAATGGCATTATTTAGAACACTATCTCGGAATTTGCCTTGACAAGCTCAGCAAAACCACGACAAATAGCTGGAAATATAACATTCTACTTAGCGACATTTCAACCCTAAACTTCCTGAGTGAGTGGTAGCCACTTTACTATGATTTTCGGTCCTAGAAGTAGATGGGAGGAAAATATATCAAAAACAGAACTATGGGACGTGACGATGAGGAAGGCGTTCACTTGGATCACGTTGATGTCAGACGGAGAGTCTTAAAAATGTTTTGCTGAACCTTTGATTTCTATAAAAGACGGGATATCTGAGTAGCTGTATCAGCTTCTCATAGACTCCGCTAAAATGATATTTTAGACACAAAAGTGAAAATCGATTTCTTTAAGTTCATGGACGCAAATATTAAGGAATAAGTAGCAAATATGAAGACCGGATATCGTGGACATGTTTTCAATTGTAGATCGAGGGTTCGGATGCAACAGTTCTTGCCGCTATCAGTAAAGCTTTCCATTTTCATCAGCGATATCATCACCTTCTGGTCTGTCTGATGATCATTTTAACATTACCTAACTCTTCTATTAAGTTAATCCCTTCTGAAGTTCACTACCGTACTATCACAGTGGGTGGCATCTTCGCCCGAAGCCCGATTACATTCTGAACACGCAATTTCCGCTTTGGCCTTCAAAGTGTATAGGAAGACGGGCCGAAGACCTGTTATATGTGTGCAATGTCTTCTTCGCGACGCAAAATAAACATTTCCATTCTGCTTAAGAACTTGTAATTCAGTCACCAACAGCTCCTTTGACCCATCGCCTTCAGGTTTCATAGATTGGGTTCATCTCACGCGCGTTCGCTAAACTGCGAGATTTTATTAAAATTACTTCGTCTGTCTATCCGTCCGCGTGAAACAACTCGAGAAAGAATAAATTGGTTTTCATAATATTTGACAGTGTGAAGTTTCACGAAAAAGTGTAGACACATTTCAATTTTCATTTAGATCGGATAATTTTTGCGACCACTTCACATAAGAATGAGCAGGGATAGCTCAGTCAGTATAGTGACTAGCTACGGGCTGGACGACCTGGGTTCGATCCCCGACGGGGGCAGAGGATTTTTCCTCTAGCCTCTGGGGCCCACCCAGACTCCTCTACAATGGGTCGGGGTCCTTTCCCGGGGGTAAAGCCGGCCGGGGCGTGATGCTGACCACTCACCCCCATCTAGTGCCGAGGTAAAGAATGAGTAGGAGTTATACCTCCTCTCACCCCAAGCGCCTACATGGCGTATAGTGGGACAAACTTTACTTTACTTTTTACTTCACATAAGAGCAATTTCTTAACGTAGCAGTAATGTTCTTTCATTTAAACGGCATCAATAAAATAATCTATATAATGGTGACGCGTTATGTTTTCTTTTAAGTAGGGAATTCATTTTAAAACAAACTTTGTTTTTCATAGAGCTGAAATTCATGGTTCGGTACGGTCTGCATAACTGACAATAAAACCCTGCCTCTTACGTCTGACACAGTCCTGTGTGCGTGTGTGTGGTTATTGTTATCGTGGAAATTTATTCGTTTGTTTGTATATAAAATGGGAGCCTACAGACATTTATTCGGTTCCCAGTTCAATGTTATCATTAAATAAAAGTCCAGTTTCCCGACGATATCACTAATTATGATTATCCCCCCTGCACAAAACAGATTCACGTCACTGCACAACATACTTCAGATCCTGTTCCTGGGGCCTTTCCCAGTCAGAATTGTCATCTGAACTTAGGTCCGATTCAGAACTGTTATGGAACAATGGATATTGAAATTCAATATGATACGTATTTTACGAAGAACATTAGTAGCTGTATGCAACAAAGTAAATTCCCCACCTTTATATAACTCGAAGAATGATTATTGTGTTCACATGAGCTCACCACCGATACCTATCCAAAGCCAGATGAATCCAGTTCCACAAACGACCACACTTCCTTCAAATCTATTTTAATATTATCCTTCCTTCCATCTGTGCATATATCTTAAAAGTGGCGTTTTTCTTTCCCGACAAAAATTTTGTAAGCATTTCTCATTGCTCCCACGCGTACTACATGCCCCTTTCCGTGTCATCCTCAGTGATGTGATAATCCTGATAATATCTGGTGACAATCACGAATCACAAAGTTCCTTAATGTTCGTTTTTCCAACCCCTATCAAGTCCTCCATGTTAGTTCCAAATATTCTTCTCAGGAGCCTATTTTCAAACAGCCGGACTCCATGTTGTTTCCTTGACAATTTTACTCATCCATACAGAACAACATAAACCATAAATAAATAATAAAATGGCGATCTAAGTACGCACATTAATAACTTACCAGGTTTCGCAGATACCGGGCGCAATAAAACTGCGAACATGAACATGGACCAAAGACAGGGCCCACACTTCCTCCTCGTCATAGCGGAAGCCTATAATAACAGAAATTGCGACATTTTAGAGGACAAAATCTGGACTGTCAAGTAAATGAATGTTCGGCGTCTTAAGATCACAAAACCGCATACATGTTTTAGCTGATGAACAGGCCTGTACTATCATGGAAATTGAACATCAGTATAATTTTTCGAACAGCTACAAGCCACGTTCAACTTTTCAACTTTTATTTAATATGTTTCCTCTTTTTAACCGCATGTGTCGAAGTTTTTTATTTACTAGAGCAGGGCGCTCCTTTCGGAGCTCCTAGGGAGGGTTGGTCAAGTTTGTAAAACGCCACCAACCTTGTGTAAGAAACTAATCTAACCGCCCCGAATTGAGGGTTAAAACAATTGACCAACCCCCCCTTCTGGGGGGTTGGTTGCGTTTTGAAATCTTAAGTAACACGCTAAACTAACTCCCCTTCGGGGGGTTAGTTTAGTGTCTCATTCAAGTGTTTTAACCCCTGAGTAAGAAACTAAACTAACCCCCCGAATGGGGGGGTTTAAACACTTGACCAAACCCCCCCACTTCGTTTGTTTCCTTCTGCTCTTCTGCTTTTGTTGAATAAGTTTTTCTACGTTTATCAATGTAAGTCTTACTTCGCCTTTCTTTATTTCTTAAATATGTCTGATGTTGTAGTTCTTTACGTCGCTGTTCAGAGGCCAACTGTTTTTGGTCAGACAACTTTTTACGTCCAACCCCACCCTTACAAATCTTCGTTTGTTTCCTTCTGCTCTTGTTGAATAAGTTTTTCTGCGTTTATCAATGTAAATCTCCTTTCGCTTTTCTTTATTTGTTAAATAGG